CCCGAAGGGGCCTAGGGGTTAAGGCGAAAGCCAGCAGGGCCTATTAGTACTCCATATCAGGATAGCCAAGGCTGTCAAAGGAAGGAATGACCACAGTGGCCTGGACAGGGCAGGTCCCATGTCAGCATCCTGCAGGTATAAGACAGACCAAGGTTCAAGGGGCAGGTGTCTTCCCCCGGGCTGAGCTCCCTTTGATTGGACCTACCTAGGGAAAAGGGCGACAACCCAAAGCCGAATTAATTGAATTTTGAACTTGAAAAGTCTGAAAACTCACTGACACATCTGAGTTGTCCTAGAAGGAAGTTTTCTGCCACTGGCAGGAGGGGAAGCTAGAAAGAGAATCCAGTTATGGGGAAATAGAGTTGCAAGTGTACCTCAGAGTCTATGGATTGCAAAATACGATCTGCTCTGCTAGTATCATTAATTTCATGACCTTCCTCATGAAGAATTTCTGATGCATGGAACTAGAAATATTGGGAATTTATTTTACAGAACTGAGGTCTTGCAGGTTAGGTTAACAGAATGAATCATCAATGATTGAAGTATAATTTCATTGTCTCCAGGATCTATGATGGTGGAATCCACAGACATAGAATCCAGGTAAGCAGTGAGTGAAGAAAATAGGAAAGAAGAAATAGAGTCCCAGGAGAACTTTGAAAAATTCTGAATGCCAGGGACGCCTGGGTGGCTCAGCGGTTGAGCCTCTTGTCTTTGGTTCAGGGCGTGATCCCAGGGTCCCAGATCCCGGCTCTCAGTCCCTCATCACACTCCCTGAGGGGAGCCTGCTTCTCCCTCTGCCTGTCTCTCTCTGCCTCTCTCTCTCTCTCTCTCTCTCAGCATCTCTCATGAATAAATGAATAAAATCTTTAAAAAAAATTCTGAAAGCACACCAGGTGAATTCTAGGGAATTATCTGGTACAAGGTCATACTCAGCAGGAGGCATAATGCCCACCACTTTGCATTAACCCCTTCCTCAATGAGAATAACGACTTGGGAGGTTTTTCCAGAGTAGGAAAAAGCATCTCTAGTTTTACAGTGGAAGTAAATGAGGAGAAATAACCTTTGGATAATTTTTTTTTATAGAGAATTCCACTGGAGCAGAGCTTTGCAAGGACTAGAATTGTTGTTTGTTGGGTGACCTTTAAATACAGAGCATTTTTTGGTAATCACCTGTCTGACTTAATTTAGTGAGAATGTGGTGATGTCTGACTCTGATTATTGCATAAGTGATCCCCCTCCCCCCCGACACACACACAGCTTGGCAGGGAGCTGGGTGGTGGGGAGAAGGGTTGGCTCTGTTGTTCCATCCTGGAGACCCAGGCTCCCTACTGCCTGCTACAAGGCCTCTTGGCTGAGAAAAGCTCCTTATAACCCTAAGTGTAGTGATGCACAGGCAACCCTCTTTGGCTCCCAACTGTATCAGTTTGCCAAAGCTGCTATGATAAAGTACCCCCAGACCGGGTGCCTTAAAAACAGAAATGTATTTTCTCACAGTTCTGGAGGCAAGAAATCAAAGGTCAAGGTGTCCAAAAGTTTGGTTTCCTGTGAGGCCTCTCTTCTTTCCTTGTAGCTGACCTTCTCCCTCTTTATGTGTGTGCCCAAATTCCTTTTCTCTTTTTCTTTCTTTTTTAAGATTTATTTATTTGAGAGAGAGAGAGTGTGTGTGCACAAGAGGAGAGGGGAGGGAGAGAATCTCAAATAGACTGCCCACTGAGCACTGAGCCCTGAGGCTCCATCTCATGACCCTGAGATCATGATCTGAGCCAAAACCAAGTCAGACGCTCAGCTGAGTCACCCAGGCACCCCCAAATTCCCTTTTCTTAAAAAGACATCAGTCATATTAGATTAGGGCTCACCCTAAGAACCTCATTTCAGCATAATTACCTATTTAAAGGCCCTATCTCTGGTTACAGTCACATTCTGAGGTCTAGAAGTTAGGACTTCAACATAAGAACTTTAAGGGCAACAGAATTCAGCCCGTAAGACCAACTTTCCACACCTGAGGCTAAGAATGGTCAAATGTTACCTGGGGCCTACTTCTAGGGATTCAGATGACATGAAACAACAAAGCTCTTCAAATGCCCCAATCAGTGAGTCTTGGCCCTGGAGAATAAGATCAGATTTCAGGGTAATCTGGGAAGCTAGAAAAGTGGGTAGAATAGAAAAACTTTGTTGACAATTTATTTAGACTTTGCTTCTTCCAGAAAGGACATGAGAAGGGACTCCCAGATTAATAAGGATATAAAGGGCAAGGTAAAAAGGAGACAATCTGTCCTTAATGCCCTTCTACCTTCTCACTGCCTCCGACCCTACCCTCTCTTCTTTAGCCCCCTGTGCAGTCACCTTACATTCCACCTCCTGGTGACCAGAGCGCCCACTGAGGCTGTACCCTCAGGGTGGGGTATATGGGACAGTGAAGAAGTAGTTTTTCAAGACAGAACACTGTATTCTAGGGGCTTACCAAGGTAAATGTGATTTCCCAGGGCCTCTGAAAGAGATAACAACCAAACTAGCATACAGGTCATCATGGTGAAGAACTATGTTGTTTCCATGGAGGATTGTCAGTAAAGCATGAGAAACTTGGATGATCTGTTAGACAAAGCTGATTTCAATATTGAATGATTAACAGATAATTATTAAACACCTATTACGTGCCAAGCAATATGCTGATCACTTCAGGGTACACGAATAAGTCAGTCATTAATAATAGTAGCAAACACAAAACTGCCAAACACATGTATACTAACCCATATAATACTTAACAAAAAACAAAAATAAAAATTAAAAAAAAAAACACCATTTTTTGAGGAACAATTAAAACTGAAGCAAAGAAGGTTATTTGTAAGTTGCTCAAATCCACACAGCAAGGAAGAAATGAGGCCAATATTCTCAGTTAGGAAAATCTGGCTGGCTCTAAACTTCGTACTGGCAAAAACCACATGATTCTACTTTCAGATACTTGAGAGTTAAGCAATGAAGTTATGAAGTCTTTTTCTCTATTTAGATAAGCTAAACACAAGAGCTTATCTAAAGATATAATTGAGCTCCTAGATGGATCCAAGACAGGGAGTGGGGGGGGAGATATGTCCAGAAAGGGAAGCTAAGAAGGCACCAAAGAGAAATGTTCTAACTTCCTAATTTTGCTTGGTGTTGGAAGGGACCTCTAATGAAAACCTGCCATGAAGGTCAACAATTGGCTGCATTTAATTTTAAAGTGAAGCATTCAGAACATAGTCTTAAGTATGGAGTCTGAAGTCCAACTCCATAGCCTGAAAACCAAAAGGAATAGGAACAGAAAAGATGGAGCAGAGCATGTCATTAACTGCCCCCAAATGGCCCTTGTGGGAGATGGGGCAATTCTTGGCCTAGTTTTCTCAGGGCAAGGCTAGAGTGTGAGACTAAAGCCCTGCCCAGCTCTGGCTTCCTAATTCCTCCTTATTGTTTGCAATTTTCATCTCTTACACTGTAGACCTAAATTTTCTCTACAAGATATTTCAACATTGAGCGCTCACAGATACAAAATCTAAAAACATTTAACCCCATCGTTAGGTTAACTGTGTAAAGAATGTCCCAAAGTTCTGGTACAAACTCCCACTGTTCTCCCAGACTAAGAAGTGACACTCCAGAATCAGTTTATATGGCTCAGCGTATTTTGTAAAGGAGTAGGCACAACAGCTTATGAAATTAAACTCCTGGACACTAGAGACACCCTCTCAGGAAGAGCCTTGTATTTGTGCTTGGGCGGTTGGTGCCAGTGTGCAGCAGCTTTAAAGAATCCAAGGTCTAAAAGGTCACTCCTCCTGACAAAGAGTAGTCACAGTTTGGGCTGCACATCGGAGTTCTGAGCACAGGCAGTTTGCAAGACCAACTGTCTTCGTAGCGTGTGGTTTTTGCTGGGGTGAAGGCTTCTTTTTTTGTTTTGTTTTGGTTTTTTTTTGGGGGGGGGGTGAAGGCTTCTCCTTTGCATCCGGACTTTCAGGAACACAGGCGCTTTGTGAAGACGGGCCCCCGCGGGTGTCCGAGCAGGCCCGCAGCCCCCGCGAGCCCCGGCCATGTGCGCGCCGACCGCCGGGCTGGGGCGAGAGGGCCGGGGGCACCCGCAGCTGGGGCAGATCCGGTGCCCGCTGGAGCCGGGGCCACGCCCGCGCCCCGCCCCCGCCCCGGGGCCTTGCTGCAGTCCCGCTCCAGGCTTCCGTCCCAGGCCCACAGTCCCCAGCACTCGCCTTTCTCGTCCCGGGAGAGCGCAGGGCCGGGTCAGCGCGGAGCAGGCGGGGCGGGGCGGGGGCGGGGCGGGGGCGGGGCCCTGCGGGGCGGGGCCAACCCCAGGCGGGGTCCGGAGGAGCGAGGAGCGGGAGGCGCGGCTCGGAGGGGGGCGGGGCCAGAGGCCGGGAGCTGGGCTCCGCGCGCGCCCGAGTCCTCGCCGGGAGGGGCGGGGCCCCGGAGGGCGGTGGGGGCGGGGCCGGGGCGGGGGCGGGGGCGGGGCGCGGGCAGGGCCGGGGCGGGGCGGGGCGGGGCGCGGCGCGGGACGCACCGCGCGGCTCCCGGGGCCACGGCCCGCTCCCTGCCCTTCCCGCGGGCGCAGCTGTGGGGCGGGCGGAGGCCGAGACGCCGAGTGGCGGGACGAGGAGAAAGCGGTGCGGAGCCTGGAGCCTGGCGTCCGGGCGGCGGGAGCCGGTGGGGGCCCGGCGAGCAGGGCCGGAGGTGGCGGGGCCCGGCGAGGCCACGATGAAGCCGAACGGCGAGGACGAGGCGCCGCCCGCCGGGGGCCCCTGGGAGGAGTGCTTCGAGGCGGCGGTGCAGCTGGCGCTGCGGGCGGGACAGGTGAGCCCGCGGGCCCCTCCCGGACGGCGCGGTCCTGCGAGCGCAGCCCCGGAGGGCCGGGCCGAGCCGGGCCGGGCCGGGCCGGGCCGGGCCGGGCGCCCCTCGAAACTTCGCAGAGTCCGAGCAGACTCGCGTGGGACGGAGGAAGAGCCTCCGGGGCTCAGGGGAGCGAGGAGCTAGACGCGCGGGGCTGCGGACCGAGCGGGGCGGCCCCGGGCTGCGGGGAGGCCCCCGTCCGGGGTCCGCGGCCTGGGGGTGAACGAAGTCTGCGTTGGTGTCCGGGAGCCGGGGGGCTGAGCGGGGCCGCCACCCAGGAAGCTCGCCCCGCGCGGCCCCTCTCCTGTGTCAGCGCGATGTCTGCCTGTAGGGGACTTGACCTCTGCGTCGGAGGCCGTAGGTTAGAACGCATTGGCTGTGCAGATCGGTGCCGGGATTTAAAAAGCCCTCCCGGGCTTGAATGCCAGGCGGCTGTTTGTGTTTAAGGACCTTTGCGAAGAGCCTGTGGCCGGGACGTGGGTGCGGTTCCCCCACGCTGAAACCCCTGGCGCAGGAGATCTCGGCCCGCTTGCTGTGTGATGGGCTTCCCTCCAGCATCCCGAATCTGGACCTGCCCCGGCCCGGGCTGAAAAGTGGTTCCACTCAGTGTTCGGCGGGACTTGTTACACTGACCAGAGGAAGGATGAAAACCAAGCAGCAGAGCGAGAACGTGTGACTTGAGTTTGAAAAGGGAGTGCAGTTCGACTTTTCTCACTTTCAGTTTTGCGTGTGGTTACCCACCTTTTCCTCAGTACCCCAGTCAGTGCCTGACACGTTGTAGGCTCCAAGTCCTTGCAGTGAAGGAGCCCTGGTGGTTGTCCCAGGACCATCATGGCCCGTTGGACTGGGAAGATGGCTTACTCCTGCCTGGCTTGTCAAGGCATTTGATGCTTCCGGTGATTTGGAGGGTAAGATGGACAGAAGCAGCGCTGTGAGCAGATTGACTTTTTCTATCCAAACATCATTTTCTTCTTCAGGTCTAGCAGTATGAAAATGCTCTGCAGGTTTTCCCGGGGTGTTCAAGTCAGGCTCTTACCCACCCTGAATTTGTCACGTGCTCAGGGAACAGTGCTTTACCTTGGTGTGAATCCTCTAATCCCCTTTAAAAGTTCATTTCAACACTGAGCAGACCCATTTTGTGTTGGAGGGCCCTCCTTCTGTGGTTTTAAAGATGCAAGATTCAGCCTGTAGGGAAGGCATGACTGAAAAGGTGGGTTGTGAAACTTCATCCTGTGGCTCTGTCACCTTTCCTTCCTATAGGAGAAGGACTCCAAACCTTGAGAGCTAGAATGCTGAGGTTTGTAGTTACAGGGCAAACATCCCTACTGGAAAGCAGATCCACTATGTGCAGGGAGCACTTGCTCTCACCCTCCTCCCTCGCTCTCAGGCCCCTCGCTTCCTTTCCAGAGTGAGCATCATCAGGATATTTAGTAGCTTTTAGGTTCCACCATAAAACTCTTCTTCCTTGAGACTTTAAGGAGAAGCCAGCTTAGGATTCTGATACTACACTGTAAACCCTGGTGAGTTGTGATGGCTTTCTATGGTTTTTCAAATTGAAATCCTTGAAGAAACAGAAGTGTCTTTAAAACCTTCATTTTATTGAACAGATGCTTATACAGAACTTGTAATATGGCAGGCACAATTCTAAAGGCCTTATTAAGAGATATCTTAAGTTTTCTCAACTTGCCAACAACAAAAAAAACTTTTTGAGAGTGGGAGAGGGATAAAATAAAGATTCTGCTATTAGGAGTCCAATCAGGGAGCCCAGGACTCTGGGCTCCCTCTTGGGCATTATGTGATGCTTCCTGCCTGCTGGGCAGTGGAGGGAAGAGTGGCTGGAATGGTCTATGCCTGGAACAAACAGAAGCCACACAAGGTCATTGCAACCTGTGTAAAAGTGGGACAGATCGTCTTAATAATGTTCTCACAGGAATCGAGTGCTGCTTGGAAAAAAAATCTGGTCTTTAGCCAGATACCCCAAAGAGGGATGAAAAGGTAACTAGTTAGTGCTGATGCATTTCTGAATCCTCCTTAGCTAAGGAGTATTTGGCAGAGTTACAGTGGCCCTGTGGCCCAACATGCCCACCCCCTCACCAGTACCCAAAGTTCTATTTTATTAAGTTTGTTCCTCTCAGCTGCTCCTGGGACAGTTGTGTGTGCTGAATTCCTGAGTCTGGGTTCTATATGCTGAAAGTAGTGTTGTGGGTCTGGGGGGGCAGGGAGAGGCCTCCAAAGAGATGAATGTCTCTGCCCTTCATCTTTCAGACATAGGTTTGGGATCAGGGCAGCCCTGCACACTTTGCTGCCACCTCCCCTTTACCCCATCCTGAGAGGTATCTCTAAAAGCCACTTGCCCCAAGGTGCTGCCCTGTCCACAGTGGCTGCCTGGCTCCTCCCTTCTTCCTTGCCTCTCCCCAACCCATTCCTTTTTTTTTTTTTTTAAGATTTTATTATTTATTCATGGGAGACACACACACACACACACACACACACACACAGAGAGGCAGAGACACGGGCAGAGGGAGAAGCAGGCTCCATGCCGGGAGCCCAATGCGGGACTCGATCCCAGGACCCTGGGATCACGACCTGAGCTGAAGGCAGAGGCTCAACCATGGAGCCACCCAGGCATCCCGATTTTGTGGTATTTTGAATGGATCCAATAGATAAGTCCAGGTTTTCCTGTAGCATGCTAATTGAAATTGATTACTGATAGTCTAAAAAAGTTTATTTAGGCTTCAAACTTATTATTGGTAGGATTATTGGTAGGATCCTATAAATTTTTAGGATTGCCGTCAAATTTGAGAATCCTGTCAATTTTCTTCTATATGTTAGTTGTAAGACATGGAAGAATTTTCTGCAGACTTCTAGTTCCATGGTTTCTTTCCACCATCCCACATGCCAGTTTGCACAGCACACACGCGCATGCTCCTCTGGCCCTGCCTGCCAGGTCCCCAGGCCAAGTCAGTCAGTGTGGTAGACAGTAGAAGCGTTTCTGGAAGCCATTCCTCCACAGGATGGCTAATAATAACTTACAGACAGGTGTGCTGCAAACCCCACAGATCGTTTCCAGTCAGGCCCAAAGTAAATTTCCTGTCCACTCAACTTGCCTTTAGCCAAGTACGCCAGGACCCACTCCAGTGCCACCTGACACACAATTATAATGGAGGTCATGGCGGAAAGAGACAGTGCTTCCATCTGCAGTTAGAAAGCTGACTTTTGCAAACTTGCAAAAGGTGTTCATGTGCGCCCTGGTGAAGGCTGTGCTAAGGGCCCTCACTGAGCCTCAGGGTGGGCCCGAGCCTTGGAGCCTCAGCTTCATTAGCCTCACAGTAAATTCACCTCTGTTTGCCGGTAATAGAATTTCGGGACAAGGCAGAAAAAGCAAAGCCCAGGACCCACCCTTGCTCAGTACTGCAGGCCTCCGGCCTCTCCGGGCGGCCTTGTGTAGCTGCGGGTGCTGCTTCCCGAAGCCCAGTCCCGGGAAGCCGGGCTGCTGTCCCCACGGCCCCTGGGTGGAGCAGCCCTTTGGCTGTCCAGACTGAACTATTTGGCATTTTCAAAACACACATTGCATTTTCCTGCCTCTCTCATGCTCCTTGAAATCGACACTCTCCTTCCAGGGTTTGGTTCCGGACCCTTTCCTTCACACACCTCCCGGTGTGACCTTCCCGGTCATTCCTGCGCTTCCTCCCAGCCTTGTGTGTCCCCGGTCTGGTCAGGACCAGAAGGTGCTCTTCTGCCCACGTGCCTCCCCAGGGCAGGGAAAACACGTCGGCAGGCTCTGGCTCCAGGGAACCCCCTTGTCTGGCTGGCCTTGCCACCACCGCGAGGTTTTTGATTCGTGATTTTCATTTTTATCAGTGATTCACACAGGGAATGTGACTGAGGGAATACTCCTGAGAGGACTGTGATGAAAACAGCAATGCCCCGTCCCACAACATCCTCATCCTGCTCCCTAGACATCTCTTTTTTTTTTTCTGATCGTTGTGCCTGTCTTCTAAATCACAGGCTTCCACTGCTCGTTCTGGAGCCTCTTGTAGACGTTGTGCTTGTTATGTTGTGTGGCTGCATTACCTGATTGGTCCCATCCCTGTCTGTGCTCACTTTCCAATGACTGTACAGTTGTAATGCACGGTCGAGCCAGGTATATGGTGGTATTACATATTTTCTTTCTTACGCAACTTGTATTTTCCTTTAAAAAAAAAAGGCGTTTTTTGTTTTTTATTTTTTTAATTTGCTTATTAGCTTTCTGTGTACCCATCAACAGTCATCAGCCCAACTTTCTGACAGAATTTTTCACAATCTCCTCAGTGTGGTCAAACTCATTGGGTCCATTGCTGTGGGGATGGGGTCCTCACACACTCACATGCATCCGAAGCACCTGGAATGCTTGTTAGGGTAGACTCTGTCCCATCCCCAGGGTTTCCGATCCACTAGGTAAGGAGTGGGCTGCGAACTGGTGTTCCTACCAAGTTCCCAGCTGATGCTTCTGATCTGGAGACGGCACACTTTGAGAACCACTGCTGTATTTTGTTATGTGAATAAATGACTGTTTATCCGGCTCTTGAGGAGAGGTTGGATCATGTCTAGTTTGGAGTTAACATGGACAATGTTGCTATGAAGATTCTTGCATGTGTCTTTTGGTTACATATGTGTGCGTTTCTGCTGGGAATATTTTAATAATAGGAGTGGAGTTATTGCTGTGTCATCAGGTGTGAAAAGCTGCCAGGTAGTGTTCTAAGTGCATGTAACAATTCCCACTGCTACCAGCGTGTAGGCTTAGGGTTCCTGTTGCTCCACATCTTGGACAACACTTGGTGTTGTCTGTCTTTTCCATTGTAGACAATTTTATGGGTTTGAGGTGTTGTTCTAATTTGCCTGTCCCATATGATTAAGGAACCTAAGGGCCTTTTTGTGTGTTCCTTGGCTTGGCTATCCCTGTTTTTATGATGGTGGTACTAAAATGTCGATTAGAAATGTATTCATCCACCGAACAAATACTGAGTAACTCTGGAAAGGACTGTACCTTTACTCAGTGTGATAATGAGGCCCGGGCCGTCCTATCTGGGGCCCTACAGGGCAGTAGGGAGCCCGCCCTGGCTGCTGTGTGGGGCCCTGCAGCTCCACAGGGGACCAGAACTGGATATCTGAAAGGAAGCTGTTCACGTGGTACAATGAAAAATGAGGGTGAATTGACTGGGCTGTGGTGAAGAAGGTGGTAGAAAAGCTGCATTTCCAGGGCTAGGCTGCCAAGCTTGCTGTTGGCAGGGAGGCGGGGGGCGGTGTGGGGCGGTGTGGGGAGAGCAGGGATGCCTTCCAGGGTGTGCGCCTGCAAAACTGGTTGAATGGACTTGCCATCTCCCAAGGCGGGGAAACGGCAGGAGGAACAGGTTTGGAGGTAGAAATCAAGTATGTTTCCAGCACATCAGGCTTGACTTGCCAGTGGGTTTCTAAGTGGACGTGTAGAGTTTGCATCCACAGTTCAGGGGAGAGGTTGATGGTGGCCACACCAATTTGGGAGCCCTTGGCCTGGGGTGGGACTTAAGGCCAGGTCCTTGGACCAGGAGAGAGCCAGTTTGTCCACCTATGGGCTCCACTTTAGTATGATCCCAAGCCAAGCTCCTGGATGTTCTCTGGGAGATTCCCAGATGTCAGTATGTGGAGGCCTCATTTCCTTCCGAAGAGACTTCCTGTTCCTCTCCCACCTGGGCTCAATGTGCCCAGCTGCTGGAGGAAGGGAGGTGGTGGGTGGCTTTCTCGCCTCCGCTGGCCCCATGCTGCATTTTGTGCCCCAGGTCCAGTCCTTCTGTGTCTGCTTAGCTCCGCAGTGGCGGGGCGGGGAGGAGGGGGGGGGAGCGGCAGCCAGCACTTACAGTTGTAAAACCTTTGCCAACATTTGAAACCTCAG